AGAGAGAGAGGGAGAGAGAGAGAGAGAGAGAGAGAGAGAGTGCGTCGTGCAAATGACGGCGATAAAAGTGTAAGGTGAGCAAGGTGAAGAAAAACGATTTTTTGCGCACAGGGGCTGCCTGACGGAGCCGGCCTCGGAATTAGACTTCGCCTGGTCGGACTACGTGGAGACGGTGGAGCGGCTGGTGGTGGCCGTCGATGGACACAACGATCCTCTGGCCCTGAACGTCGAGAAGGCGGTCAGACATCTGGACAGCCGGATTTCGGACGCGGTGATGCACGCGATGGAGAAGGGCCCGGCCCTCGAGGAAAAGGTTAGTCAGCCACTCGATTGCCCCCTTTACGATAAATAGACCTCCCCTCCTCCCCTCCCCCCACATCTACGCTACCCGCCTCGCCGTATCACGGGACTCTCCATCCAGGGACTTTGGCTATACGAGGGCTTGGGCGAGCTGTTCGCAAAGCGCTAATTACACGTCTACGCTTTCGCACGGGCGGGTGGATTGTGCGCGATACGTAGAACATAATGTTCCTATTTATTTTACTTCTCTATATCCTTCCGAGTCGCTTGTCTTAGGACTTTCTACCGGTCTTCTACCGTACATCCCGTACGAAATTCTTCGTTAGTCGCAATTAAATGAAGGAAAGGTCGTAATGAAGAGAACAAAGCAAAGCAAAGCAAAGCAAAGCTAAACAAAGCTAAATAAAACAAAACAAAACAAAACAAAACAATACAAAACAATACAAAACAAAACAATACAAAACAAAATAAAAGAGAAGACGCAATTTCTTGGAGTCGACATTCGATGTTGGCCCATGTCAATGATACCATCGTTTTATCATCGGGAGCTCTCCTCCAACGACTTACAGCCCATCAAATTACATCCACAACAAAATGTCGACTAACAATATGAACTTTTGGCCATAACGGATATCGCTGAACCATTTCTACTCGACGCTAAGATGTTTAACTCAAGGATTATGTATTATTAAGCGCGTTAATGGCTAATGGTGACTCGATATTCAATACCAGAATACATTGGACATTGAATAGAAACGGCCCATGCGAACTATCCTGCGAAATTATACAGAAGGAATTTACGTAAAGCGTGTAATGAACCCAAATAATTCCAAGAAGCACGAACAATCGCCGCAGTAGTAATATTGTTACATCGTAACGGTGCCCCAGCAATAGACCCAAAGCTTTTGTATGCTGGCATTGTCGATGGCCGAGTCGGGTCCACTCAATGATTTTTAGGCTCGGGCCTCCCTCATCCTCTCCAAATTGACAAAGAAACTACTGGCGTATCCCATATATTTTGCAGCAATCAGAGACGCGTAATCGCAACGGGCGCGGCGACAAAAGACCCAACACGGCTTTTTTTACACCCGGTGCATCACTTACACGCAAAGCAAAGCTCGCTTTTTACGACTCGCCAAGAGCTAATCGACTTAACATGAATCGTGCGCGGGGGGTTGAATTTTTTCTTTGCTCCGTCTCGCCACGAACAATATCCTCTGTTCCGAGAGCTGGCTGGCACACTTTGCCCCGGACCTCCCCACCTCTGCCTCCTCTCAACTCTCCGCTCTCCCGCGAGAGTTTCTTTCTCCGCTCCTTTTTCCTCGAGTGCCTACGTGCGTCAACTTGTCCCATTCATCGTTTCCGTTTAAAAGCGGCCGTTCGAGCCTCCCGTCCCATCAGCCCGAGAATTCACTCGGCCGACCCCAGAAAATTTCTCCAGAGTGCCGTAGTTTTCACTCAATGGAGCGCCTACGGCAAACCGTGCTATTGGCTCAATACCTCCCCTCCATCCGCTCCTCTTTAACATCCCGCCAGCACCATAACAACAACCACCAACCAAGCCCTCCTTCCAATCGCCCCGAAACATTTCATTCCCGTTACGTAAGCGAGATGAGAGACGGCAATACGAGAGAGATAATAGAGACATAAAATTCTAAAGCTACCGACAACTGCCCTCCTCCATACACACACGCGTACTCTTCTTTTCTCTTCGCTCTTCGAGGACGACCATAATTCTCGCTCTCGGCTGCTCAAAATGTATGTGCCTACGAACCACCATCCCCTTTCCCTCCCTAACCGCCCCTCGTCGTACCGTCACTCCACTACCCTGTCCCCATTACCAACAAACTACACCGTCCTCTCCCCTCATTGACATTCATTTAGATACGTAGCGATCTGTGAATGTGTAGTGCAATCGCGTGCCGGTGGTCCAAAGGACGGCGGTGGCTGCGGCGGCAAACGAATGCGTGGTGGTGGTGGTGGGAGCGAGATGGGAATATGAGTGAGAAACAGTGAATGAGAAAGGAGGCTCCTTAGACAAGCGAGGATTCAATGGAACACGACGACGACGACGACGAAGTGAGAAAGAAGGAGACTTTTTAAGCAATGGTCTCACCATTACTGAGGCCCTGGCGGCAGCTTCGAAAGGATCTCCCCCTCCCTCCTCCTAACCACCCGCTCTCACTCCATCCTTCACCGGTCTATCCCCTCTCTTCGCCGCTTCGTTTGGCTGTAGGTTGGTTTTGGCTTTTTATGGGGGCGAGAAGAAGGCGCCTGCGGTGCTGCTCTGTTCCTTTGCTCTCTCTCTCTCTCTCTCTCTCTCTCTCTCTTTCTCTCTGTTTCTTTCGTTCCCGCGATATACATACTCGGGTCCGCTGTACCTGTTGAGACCTGCCAGGGACGAGATTCTCTCGGTGGCCTCGCCAGGGGGTATATCTGTCTGTCCTTCTTACTCTCCACGGACTCAAGATCCTACTAATAATTCCTCACGCGCGCACTTAAGAGAGAAAGAGAAAGAGAGAGAAAGAGAGAGAGAGAGAGAGAGAGAGGCGTTCTGCGCGTACATCGTGTTGTCCGTCGCGTACTGGTGAGGCTGGCCGTTAGCCCCTTGATTTCAGCCAGAATCTCCGCGCATCGTTAAGGGCAGTTCAAGCTACCCTGTCTCCTCCGCCCCCCGATGTCTCAGCCGGTGTCTGCTGTCGATCCACGCGCTTTTCCGTTCCTCGAAGTTTCCATTCTCCGCAGCCACGTCTCTTTCTTACCATAGACGTCGCTGACTACGGTCTCGAGCGCTGATGATGCTCATTGTACTCGGAGAGGTAAATTGTCCGGGGATTTGAAATTTTCGAACGAATCGAAAAAAAACCACCTATTTGCACACCAGCCAATTACATTGTTTCTTCTTTACCTATCTCGTGCTAGGTAAAAGGATCCCGAGATCCGGTCGTTCTTTTTTACCCAATTTATATGTAGGACGTGGCGCTCTTGATTCGCCAACGAAATAAATAGCCGATTAAGTGCACAGGTATTGTTCATTAATATTATGATAATAAATGTTATTTTACCGTAAAATATAAATTTCGAATTGAAATAAAGCTATAATTTAAATAAATAATAAATTTAAACTCAATTTTCAATTAATAATTAATAAGAAATTTTACAAGACTTTTTACACACTCACAGTTTTTCCTGCATAGATAAATCTGCCGCGAGCACACAAATACACAAACACACGCATACACGCACAAAAGAGACGTAATTTAAATTAGGTATGTAAAAATGAATGTTCCTCTTTGCAAATTTGAAAAAGGAGGCTAATTTAGTAGTTGGCGAGAAGATAAAACAGATCGCCGACAATATGTAGCCGATATACCGAAAATTTAAAGGTCTGTAGTTTTGGCGTGGGTACTCAATTACGGAAAGCCGAAGCCCTTATCCGAGCGTTAACAAAGCCATAATGTCTGTTTTACAGCCACCAACAGGATTCATCCATATTAAAAAGCAGAGCGTGGAATGGTTGGCGAACGGCGGGGGGGCGCCGGAAATGTAAGGAAATCGTGGGCGTTCGCTCGAAAATCGTGGAGGAATTTCTCTGGCTCCCGGTTAGGCGTAGGTGTGCGGAATTCGCCGCCGTCTCTTCCACATTATTATTCATCACAGTGTTGCGGTCCCTGAACCGCGGGTACAGCAGCGGCGTAGAGAGAGAGAGAGAGAGAGAGAGAGAGAGAGTGAGATAGAGAGAGATAGAGAGATAGAGAGATAGAGAGATAGAGAGATAGAGAGATAGAGAGATAGAGAGATAGAGAGATAGAGAGATAGAGAGATAGAGAGATAGAGAGATAGAGAGATAGAGAGATAGAGAGATAGAGAGATAGAGAGATAGCAGCTCGAGCAGCGAGAGGGATTACGGAACGACGTGGCGACCAAGAGGCCAAAGAAGAATCCGTGGGAGAGAGAGAGCGACTGGATCGGCGAGCGGCGGAGAGAGGGTGCGACGCTCAAGTTGTGCGGTATTGCCGGTTGGTGTGTAGGGGGTGAGGGGGGATGATGGGAGGGCGATGGTTCGGTGCGGCGGGGGGGGGGGGGGGGGGGAGGAAGGCTCGTTAGTCATCCCTGTGCGGGCGCACAAAAGAAAAAGGCCCGAGGCGCGCAGTTTTCGTACGCCGAAAGTAAGTCGGCCGATCGCCCGCCCAGATTCCTCGCCCAATCTTCGTGGGATATTGCGAGGCGCGTGCGACCCGTCTTCCTTTTTCTTTTCTACGAAAATCCCTCTCGTTCGGTGACTTTGTCCTCGAGAGGGTTGCCCGCTCGTTCCTCGACCGGCTTACCCTCACCGCCCCACCTTACCGCCTAACCGTCGACAGTCCGCGGCCCCCAACCTCACCGCTCCGAGGCCCATACGCTGGCAATTTTCCGATCCGAGAATCGCGCTCCTGCGGGAGGCCGTGAGATGCGTGGTCCGGCAAAGGGACGTGAACGGGGACGAGGACGCGGTACAAGGGCCGTTTAACGATAGTACGCTCGACTAGTTCCGGATCGCTTTGCTCCCCGTTTGTTTACGAGTTGCTGGCTTAAGCCGAGATTTATATCTCGATAGTGCGCTTTCGGTCAATGTGTAATTCCTTTACGCTGAGCGGCCCGGCGATTAAGAGCGTAAAGGAATGCTTTTTAAGCTCCCGGCACTTTAAGCACCTGTACCGGGGCATTTAAATCGAATTTTCTATTTTGACTTTCTCTGTTGGTGCAACAATGCGGGTGCACGGCTTATGGATTGAATTGTTTGTTGAAAACGAAAGGCCATCCGTAATGTTGATTTTAAGGGAAACACGCCTTTTGCTTTTAAGTTTTATGATTTTTCCCGAATAATTGTATGGCTCGTGGAGCTTAATGCACGAGGGTAATATAAAACTTGCGCCCCGACGCGTCTTTAAAATTTAACGTTGAAGTTCTATATATCGGCATACTTGACATTTCAACATGGCAAATCATCGGTCTTAGGCTCCGTGCGATCGA